CACGGCGGGTGCAGGCTTCCAAACAACCCAAGGTTAACTGTTAGAGTATAGAAAAACTGTTTCTCTTTCAAAGTCTATTTATGAACATAATGATTCTAGTATGATGTACAAATGATTCCACTACAACATTTTATTGTAGAAACATAAACAAATACTTGTTGTGTAAACAATTATTATGTGTTAGGAAATGTGATTATAATCTATTGGTAAACATAGGAAATTACACCATCAAAATATTAAAGATCCTCATGACTATAGCCTGAGCCTGTTTGGTATGAGTGATTACTCTATTGAAAAGACAGGTTTTGTACACCCTTATTCTACAGTTCCACTGTAACAACACAGGTTTTGTACACCCTTATTCTACAGTTCCACTGTAACAACACAGGTTTTGTACACCCTTATTCTACAGTTCCACTGTAACAACACAGGTTTTTGTAAACACCCTTATTCTACAGCTCCACTGTAACAACACAGGTTTTTGTACGCCCTTATTCTACAGTTCCACTGTAACAACACAGGTTTTGTACACCCTTATTCTACAGTTCCACTGTAACAACACAGGTTTTGTACACCCTTATTCTACAGTTCCACTGTAACAACACAGGTTTTGTACACCCTTATTCTACAGTTCCACTGTAACATCACAGGTTTTGTACACCCTTATTCTACAGTTCCACTGTAATAACACAGGTTTTGTACACCCTTATTTTACAGTTCCACTGTAACAACACAGGTTTTGTACACCATTATTCTACAGCTCCACTGTAACAACACAGGTTTTTGTACACCATTATTCTACAGTTCCACTGTAACAACACAGGTTTTGTATGCCCTTATTCTACAGCTCCACTGTAACAACACAGGTTTTGTACACCATTATTCTACAGCTCCACTGTAACAACACAGGTTTTGTACACCCTTATTCTACAGTTCCACTGTAACAACACAGGTTTTGTACACCCTTATTTTACAGTTCCACTGTAACAACACAGGTTTTGTACACCCTTATTCTACAGTTCCACTGTAACAACACAGGTTTTGTACACCCTTATTCTACAGTTCCACTGTAACAACACAGGTTTTGTACACCCTTATTCTACAGCTCCACTGTAACAACACAGGTTTTGTACACCCTTATTCTACAGTTCCACTGTAACAACACAGGTTTTGTACACCCTTATTCTACAGTTCCACTGTAACAACACAGGTTTTTGTACACCCTTATTCTACAGCTCCACTGTAACAACACAGGTTTTTGTACGCCCTTATTCTACAGCTCCACTGTAACAACACAGGTTTTGTACACCCTTATTCTACAGCTCCACTGTAACAACACAGGTTTTGTACACCCATATTCTACAGTTCCACTGTAACAACACAGGTTTTGTACACCATTATTCTACAGTTCCACTGTAACAACACAGGTTTTGTACACCCATATTCTACAGTTCCACTGTAACAACACAGGTTTTGTACACCCTTATTCTACAGTTCCACTGTAACAACACAGGTTTTTGTACACCCTTATTCTACAGTTCCACTGTAACAACACAGGTTTTGTACACCCATATTCTACAGTTCCACTGTAACAACACAGGTTTTTGTATTCCCTTATTTTACAGTTCAATTTGGACAACTCGGGTTTTTTGGATATTTTATGTGATTTAGATGATTGAAATAAAGAAATGTTTTCTGCTGTTGTCTCAGTAAAAAAGCTATCAGTCTCCTGCTCTTGTTAATGTATGGCTATTGTGTATTGATTAACATCATGTCAAAATCATTCTGAACGTAGGTAAATACTTGTATCTGATTCTTTGAATAGAGTCATTGCTAAACTATTGTTAATAAAAGTAGTATCCCTTTATTTTGTTTATGAGATCATATACTCAGTGGAGAAGTTGGTAAATTGTTTATAAAATTGAAATTTCCCTCATGCTTCATTGGATTTAAACAGAACATTGAATCAGACACAAATTCAGTGCATGATCTAATTATGGTCTTATTACTTAATGAATACAATATCATTTCTTAAGAACTTTTCTGAAAGAAATCACATAGTGATTATGTGAAAATGGACACTTCTGTCATTTTACATGCTCTGAATACCTTTTCTTTCCTGCAGTAGTTAGCATTGTATCCTGGAGATTTGTCTGTAGATTTGATCTTAAGTGTCAAGCGTGATAAAAAACTAATGAGGCAAGCTCTGACTTCAGTAAACAACTAACATCTTATTTGAAAACTGGAAAAGTAGGACATAGAAGGACACATCTGATTTCTGGATTTATCATCCCATCAATAACCGGGGTTGTTCTGAAGTGGAGTCTCCTTGAAGCAGCTGATGACTACCCGACTGTACAACATACAGGAGGCCCATTGCATGACATCTAGGGCAACTGATAAAAGTATCCTGCCTGATAACACAACCTCAACAGTACAGGCCATGCAACACCTAAGAGTAGATATATACAGAGAAGGTTGATGAAAGTGCTGAATGTGTTTTTGTTGTCCTTCAAATTGTGAAATACTGTTTGGATATTATTGTGACAAATATTATTGCTTATTAAAATTTTGTACAAAATTAACATTTATTCTCAAAATTATTAAAAGCTTCATCAATCTGAAATCTATCAAATTCTTGTGTCTTTCATGTTCACTACCAGAAATGAACTTATTTGATTGGAACTAGCTATAACTATATATATACCAAATTTGGAAGCTACACTCCTTCTAAATGTAAATTTAGCTAATCGCGTTAATTATAGATATATGTTTTATTACTGTGCTAAGTGGAGATATGTTAAATAGTGTTCCACTGATGATAAACACACAGGAAAAAGTGATTAAATCAAGCACCTTATTAGCCTGAGTCTAGCTTTACAAATGTATCACTGAAACACAACCACATATTTTCAGTTGACAGTTGTTTCCCAGTTGCAATAAAACAGCAACATCTAATAACATACCAGCAGAAGCCTGTCCTGGTAATAAGCCTATCTAAATGTATGCTGTTCTGTAGATTTAACTTTTTTTGTCACCTGTCTCTCTATAAAAATATAAATTTAACAATTTCAACAATTTCTTGGGAAAATTGCTAGAAAATGGTAACAAGCCTGTTGACTGGCATTAAACATATGACAGTGGCCAGACATTCACATGATAATGCTAAAACATCAGTCTGAATGAGATTGCTGATGTAAACAGAAAAATAATTCTTTAATCTTGTCATGTCTTATGTGTCTAGATAGACAAGTGTACTGTAAACCATCCGTCAGTTTGAAAAAAATCATTAAATACTGTTGAACCTGTTTGAATTATATGAAATTATGCTTGTGAAAATAAATTAGAGTTTGTCAGGGTTGACATTGCCCAAAATCATGACAAAGTGACTAAACGCATCCTAGCAAGGCAGGAAACGACCAGTCAGAGATGGCATTTCCTGAGGGGGAAAATGTTGATTATGAAATAATCATCTTTTGAATCATATACTGTACTACATTGATGGAGAGTGGATTGAGACTTTATCTGACTATGTTTTACAGCCTGCTATCCAGAGCATTTTACGTCAATAGTTAAACATGTAGTCTCAAGATATGTTAGAAAAATTCAAAATGTAAGTGAAACAAAATAGAAAGGGTTCAAACTACACCTAGACAGAAAATTGTTGTTTTTATTGAAAAATCTGGTTTGAACTATCACTTATTTGAACTGACCAGAGGTTTACCAAATTAATTTTTCAACATGGGTGATCTATATCTGATTATTTTGGATAATTCAGATAACAAAACACGTATTTCATGGCTTTAATATGAGCCAATAGTCAAACCTATTTCCCCTCAGTTTATACCGTATACTGTCCTGCAATAAAACCCTACCCTGAGTTTCAGCCATAATTTTGATGGTGGCCCATCACAGGATAAACAATACGTTTTACACTTAGCTGATATTTTCTTTATACAAGGCAAAACCTGTTTGTAATAGTATACTTGGTTTATCACCATACAAAGTCTCCTTGTAGTACTTGTTTGCTATCTCACTGAATGTCATACAGAGGGCCCATCACATGCTATCCTGAGCAACCAGGGTAAAAAGTCTTGCCCAAGGACCCAACTATGGCAACATAGACCAGTCCTTATCCCTGCTTTCAGAGAAACACAAACTACCACATGTTCAGAGAAACACAAACCACCACATGTTCAGAGAAACACAAACCACCACATGTTCAGAGAAACACAAACCACAACATGTTCAGAGAAACACAAACCACAACATGTTCAGAGAAACACAAACCACCACATGTTCAGAGAAACACAAACCACCACATGTTCAGAGAAACACAAACCACAACATGTTCAGAGAAACACAAACCACCACATGTTCAGAGAAACACAAACCACAACATCACAAACCACAACATGTTCAGAGACACACAAACCACAACATGTTCAGAGACACACAAACCACAACATGTTCAGAGAAACACAAACCACCACATGTTCAGAGAAACACAAACCACAACATGTTGAGAGAAACACAAACCACAACATGTTCAGAGAAACACAAACCACAACATCACAAACCACAACATGTTCAGAGACACACAAACCACAACATGTTCAGAGACACACAACATGTTCAGAGAAACACAAACCACCACATGTTCAGAGAAACACAAACCACAACATGTTCAGAGAAACACAAACCACAACATGTTCAGAGAAACACAAACCACCACATGTTCAGAGAAACACAAACCACCACATGTTCAGAGAAACACAAACCACAACATGTTCAGAGAAACACAAACCACAACATGTTCAGAGAAACACAAACCACCACATGTTCAGAGAAACACAAACCACCACATATAAGAAGCATCAACCCACACATCTCAAATCTCTGTCTGTGTCTGTGTAGGCCAACACTGGCCTGGAAGAGTTATCAAAGTCCTTGATTGGAAAATATATAGGTACCTTAATTATGAAAAAAATTGTACTTACATATTTTGCGAAGAAAGAACGATTGTCACTTTGTGATCCTCTAGCTTTTTCCATTTCATCCCTCTTCATCTTCTCAATGTAACTTTGTGTGTCAGGTCTTTAAACACCAAATAAGGAAATGAAATTAGATGTCAATCATATACTTTTTCAAAAATCTGTAAAGAATTTTATGGAACCTTTTCATGTCTCTATTTTCAAAAACTTCATATCTGACATGAAGTTATTATAATAAACAGTTTCATATTTGCACAAAATTGTGCCATTGGTTTGTAGAACATTTTATTTTGATCAGTGACTAAAGTTTGCAATTTGCACAGAGGAATAGTTACAACAGTTAACTTAACTCGGTAAAAGCATGTTTACATGTCACATTAAACTAAACAGTTGTAGAAAGAGATTTTAATGTTGAAAAACAGCAGATATTTCAGCTGGCTACTGGCTTCTGATATTAAGTACCACCCTTTAAAGTGTATTTTGATAAATATATGTACATATGCATGTGTTTACATTATAAACAACTTTTTTTGAAATCATTCTTTCCATTTTTTGCTTCTGATATTTTACTTTAAATTGTTTATAATTCTGATATATTCATGTATGATGTTTACTTTCCATTAATAAGAGAAGGGATTCATAAGTTATATGGATATAACCCACACTCAATTTATAATGTTGTATAATAGTCTTCAGGATTCATGATTTCAAGCCTATATTCAATAAATTTCTTTGAAGAAACACTTGTGAGAAAATAAGTTTGAAAGAAAATGAAAAATATTGTATAGATATACACTCTTATAAGTAAATTTGCTGTAAAAATTCAATTTCAATGTAAACAAAAGAAATAGTGTAGCCTAATTATACTTACGCTGGACCTAAGATAGTCTGTGATATATCTACTGTAGTATTCCAATGAGTCAAGTCAGAGTTGTCTACACTGCTACCAAGACACTGTGCTGGATCAGTGGATATGGAAAACCCAATTATCTCCCCTGATTGGTCAAAATGGATCCATAGATGATCTGACAACTCTGACTCATAGATTCCACACTATTTAAAAAAACAAACAAAAAAAAAAAACATACAGACATCAACAAAATACTTATTATAAACAAGCATGTACAAGTAAACAGACTTTATTCAAAATATGATATCATAAGTTCAATTTCATTTTAAAAAGGCAACATGATTTTTGAAACTCAGATATAGGAGTCCAGGACTCATATTCAAGGATCATGTGAATGCTCAGTTTTTCTTTTTTTCTCAAATCGTTGGTGGAAGGGTCAAGGAGGGAGGAGGGACATCACAGAAACTGTCTAAGTATAGGATATGTGGGTGAAGGAGTAACAGCCCATGTACAGCATTGGGTGGTGAGGAATGGTATGGGAAACAAGGATTGTAGGGTGGGAGGGGGGGATGGGTTTTAGTAGTATAAAGTATATACAGCTAATACAGGAGAAGAGAATGGAAAGGTAAGAGAAACAGTCAGTGTCTAAGATAACAAAGGGTCTTATTTAGTTCACTTACTGCCTGAGTGTAGGAATATACATAGTCCTCCTCAGAGTTACCAGTGGTCCTCACTTGCATACGCACTCTGTAAATGTCGTTGGCCCTTACCAGATTCTACAAGTACATCACACATTCACAAACAATTAAAAGTTACCAAGACAAAATAGTCATCCCGAGATCTTTGTTGACATTCAAGTTACTGTGTATCACTATTCCTTAACAAGAACAAGCAGGTATTTTTAATACAACCTAAACGGAACTTTTTTCTGAGACAGTGACATCAAATATATAAATACTCACTTTAAGCATTCTCTTCTCATCCAGTGACAAGTTGACAGGCTCGGAAAGGAAGGCTCTGTTATTTTTGACGGACTTCACCACTACAGTGCCTCGCTTGGTAAATGTGGGCACTTCTTGGTCTGAACAAAATTATGCAATTTATAATATATAACAAAAATTTGATTGCTTCAAACCAAAATTCTATTTTAAATAAGATACTAATTTGATACCATATTTTTCTGGTTTATAAGTCCTTATAATTCTAACCTTTTATTGACGCTCTACATCAGTCAAGCATCTGTGAAGAGGTCTTTCAATCTATGTGCACTGCAATTCTTAATTACATGTGTAGGAAAAAGGGCTGCTTAGTAATATTTATAACTTACCATTATCCAGGCAGTGTTCAACATCAAATGTCCTTTGTCCATCATAGAAATCCTCAGCCTAGAGAAAAACAAGTAAAAATACTAACAGGTGACCTTAATAGATGAAAGCAATGAAAACTTTAGCAGGAAGAACAAACCTGTCAACTACTATTATTAAAAAATGTAATACATCAGCTTCCAACCCCAATACTACAAACACTTCCCAGTCATTTTTGTAGGATATTACCCAGCTAAGTCCAGAGCATCAATGCCAAAAGTTTGTCCAGTTTTTTTTAAAATGTCAGTGAGTCCCAGAGGAAAAGCATGTGTCAAGGACTCCAATATTTGGAGTCCAAAAACAATTGGGATTCCTTCAATAAAAGAATATGTACAAAGAACTTACAACAATGATGAGATGGTTGAACAACCTGTAGTTTGATACTTGCCACAATGTTATTTTGTTTACAGATTTACCTCACAAACTAAAACCATGTTAATTCAAAAAGACATTATAATCACAATTGATGATGGACTTTATAGTACCAAATTGACAATAAGCTAATAAGAAACATGTGTATGATGAAGAACTAGACAAAGTTTACAACACAACACTCAGAGTTAAGAGAATCAACAGATACCTCTTGTTCGGTAGTGGTATATTGGTAATGTCTTTATGATATGGACTTTCTTACTCAAGGATCTGGAATCCTAAATGGAAAATCTAAACTGCTACCATTGTATGGTACTATTGTGTTCAGATATGAGGTGAGCTCAGACGTGTCAACCATAAGCAAAAAAGTAAACATATAAAAAAAAAACTCCCCAGGAATACACTCAAGAATACTGCACCAGGAACCAAGCCAATCTTCAGAGTAGTGTAAGCAGCAAATGGACCAACTAACCCATCACAAGTAAACTTAAAATTAAACATTTTGTTGGTAGTTTATCTTTCTGTTCCATACAGATTACACCTTTATCTAAGAATATTCAATTTTGATTTGGCTGACAGGGTTCAACATTAATATTTTTTTCAACTGGACTAGTGGATTAGTAACTTACAGTTTACTAGACCACTTGAGATTTCTACTCGACAATTTTTAAAAAATGAAGAACATCTTTAAAGTTTGTTCTCTCCTGTGTTATTTTACCAACATTGAGACAAAAACAAAATTACAATGTAAAAGAATGTAATACATGTTATATCTTACAAACAGTGTCAATATTCATTTCATGATCCTTTACCAGAGGACAACATCTTAAACTAACACAACTACATGTCAAAATCTTTAATGTAATTAATCTGGACTAAAAGTACATTAAACTTGTGCCCCTTTTGTAACTTTACCATCCAATAACGACAAACAGTAACAGGGTACCAGTCTAAAAATTGATCTAGCCAACGATAGTTGGTTTTTCCCGTACTATGGAATGCTGTGCATGTGTGACAAATGACAGTTTTTCTGTTGGAAAAAAAAAAGTTTTCAATACACTCTTGGCGATGTAACCATCTTATTAGGTATGCTAGAGATTGTCTTCAGTGAATGGCTGGTTCAATTATCGCCATCGATTAATTATACGATTAATGCATGAAAATAATACAAATTTTTTATTCTTTTCGCACTAGACCATTCGGGCTATCTCGACGCAGTCTCAACTAACCCGAACCGATGGTTTACTAGACAATGTTGTTCAGACGTGCCTTAATGTCGAACCCTGGCTGACAGAATGTAAATGTAAAGTTCTGCACAAGACAACATTTCAAGGAATGCTTTTGAAGAAAACTGTTAATACTCATTTACTTATATACTTATGGAAATTGTGTACCTCAATTTACCATTTAAACAAAAATATGATCCTTCATTTGCAAAAATTATTTATAGATCTAACTAGATTGATTTACAATCATTCACAAGGCCCTGACTACATCATCACAGTCGAACACAATGAAATATTTGTGTAAATTATAAAATCAACTGAAAATAAGCCCATAGAAATAATAAATTGTAATCCCAGAAGAATTTTAGTGAACAGTATACACACTTGTTTTTTCACCAAATACTCCGCTATCTATAATTCAGTAATCTTTCAGTGCCCTACATTTTAACGGTTTGGTTTGGAAGTTTTCAAACCAATTTCGCCTGTCCAAAATGACTACACTGACTATGTCACTGTTGTATGTTTGGTTATGTGTGTGTATGTGTGCAAGCGTGTGAGTGACAGAGAATAGCCTCTTTGTGAAATAGAGAGATACACGTGCAGAAATAAAAAGAAGTCGAAACAGACGAAACTCAACAGATTTGTTTTTACCACAGAAAGTGGACATTTACGTAGAAGCTAACGGCTGGTAAAATACTACAATTGGCGTCGTCGGCAATTTGGACTGCCGGGATTGTCATTGCTGCTGTAGTTTTCTATCGGTTTCAGGGAAGACGGTGTAGAATCCCGTGGAGAGGGTGCGCGCCATCTTGATTTTTTATGTCATTTGTTCTCGTTACAAGTCTTGTCAACTTCGTTTTCGTGTTTGTTTATTCATGTATCCTGGGTAGAGGGAACATTAATAGACTATTTCGTCCCAGTTTTTGTTGCGCTTTCTTATGTCAGCTGTCCGTCAGTTAACTGTCATTATTAAACACTGCTGTGAATTGTCGATCTGGTTAGGTGCTCTGTTAGCGCTTGACCGATTACATTTCATTTCTTGACCATATTGGCTGGAGTAAGGTGTTATGTTGTCACCTCCCCTGGTTTTCGGTTTCGAAATGGTCGATTTTTAAACAGTTGTTTCATTTGATTCTGGACACCTCGATAGTGTTTTACAGTTCCAGATTACTCTAGATTTCTGTGTGGTGGGTGGTATTGTACCGCTACCCCAGACTTACGAATTAATATTCAAATCTTTACTTTGCTTACACACTTAAGTGTTTTGTCACATTGTGCTTGTGTTATTGTTGTGTTTTTGTTTTTACTAGATGAACAGACAGTTTGCAGGTGTGCTTATTGCTGACTCCAGGGCAAATAACTTTCAACAATTTGGTGACCCAGCTGATTTTAAATTTAAATGTATTATCCAGAGAGGAGCAAATATTGAGGACCTTAAAGCATTGTCTATTCCAATCCTTAGAACATTTGAACCATTAAAAATACTCATCATCAAAATTGCAGGAGGTATAAATGACTTACTGAATTTAGACCGTCAGTCTTCTGGAAAAACAATTACACCATCAGGGAAGTCAGCAGATGAGTTAATTCAAGAACTTTCAAAATTTAGAGACCGGATCAAGGAAGTCAGACCATTGTCAAAAGTAAGTTTTATTACTATCCCTCCGGCATCTTTGAGAGCTTTTCAACTGGCGAACTCAACTCTACCTGTTCAGGACGACATAGTTAGACCCCTACAGGAACATCACAATAAAGTTGTGCTGGAGGTTAATTCGAGGATACATCATTTGAATAATCAGACAGTGCCAACCAGTTGGACTGTAAGGTGGGCTGATACAATTGTGAAAAAACACAAAAAGCGACGAGGAAGGGCACGAAATCTTGTCACAGCCTATCGTTACAGTTTTGAACATTATTATGATGGTTTACATGCAAAGTCAAACATAAAGCGCATTTGGTTTGGTCAAGTTGTTGCAGGACTTAGAGGAGACATACGGAAACTTGAACAATCAGTGAACGATATTCGAGTTGTGCAGGCTAGTACAAGTTCCACAGATTCCTCTGAGGACAAATCTCGAATAGACACTGAGGACAGAAGCTGGAAAAGACTGAGACGTTGATTTGTGATCGTGTGGTTGGTGACCTGTTGTCGCCTTATCCCCTTTCACAATGATTCGTATTAACTTCTGTGAGAAGACATCTTTGTTAGACATTCCTGGTATTGGAGAACGGCTTGCAGACAAGATCATGCAACTCCGTGAGGTTATGGGAAATATAAACCAGGATGTATTTTTGTCCATACCCTATCTCAGACCAACAGAAGCCATGATGAGCAGCATTGACTTCTCTCCAAGTTATGAACGTGGTGTCTCTGGTACTCCTCACCCTTATCAACAAGATGTCCAAACTGAACCATTATCATCAGCAGGTGAGACCAGCCCCTATAGAAGTCGATCTACCCCCAACTTTCTACCAAGGGGTACAGAGTTTGAAAGGGAGTACATACCAAGGCATTCACCTTCATCTGTCAACGCAACATACCAACAAACCCGGTATTATGATAGAGACCCTCGAACCCGAGACCAGCATGAGATTGATCCAAGGCATTATGAAAGAGGTCCTATTACTCGAGGTCGATCACGTGAAGTGTATGACGTACCAGAAATGTTGAGTCGCCATATTCAACCTCATAGGCGAGGACGTGTGAATGCTCCGAAGACGTTAAAGTATGATGGAACCTCCGATTGGAAAGCTTTCATGACCAAATTCACCAAGTTCTCTGAATCTGAAAATTTGAATGCCCGAGAATGTAAGGACAATTTGTGCTGGGTACTGGAGGGCAAAGCAAGTGAATACTTCACCATGCTTCTGGACCGTGACCCAGATATGGAGTATTTTGATATCGTGTCTCGGATGGAGCGCCGTTTTGGATTCAAAGAATTGGCTGAAACTACCCAGGCCCGTCTTCGAAACGCTCAACAGTATCAAGGAGAAAAGTTGGCAGACTGGGCAGATAGAGTACTATCCCTGGCAACAAGAGCTTACCACAATCTGCCTGATGATTTTATGTATGGGCAAGCCATGCTTACCATTTGTCAAGGGGCAATAGACAAGGAGGCAGGCCAATATGTTTCCAACCTTCGTCTAAAAACGATTGAGGAAGTAGTTGACAAGATGCGGCTCTACCAACACAACAGGAAGGCTATTTATGGCCGTGACAGAGGCAAATATAATGTGACCTCAGAAGAACCCCTCGAGGAACCAAGCATGGACAACATAAACTTGAGCCGAACATTCCCAAAGAAGCAGCCAGCTAGCCAACAGACAAGCGCAAGTTGGCAATCCCAAACTACAAATCAACGACTGGCATCCTTGGAAATGAAGGTTTCAGACATGCAACAATCTCTACAACAGATTTTGGCAGCATTAGGAAACAGCCCCAAAAAGGAAGTGGTTTGTTATGGATGTGGTGAGAAGGGTCACTTTAAGACAAAATGTCCTACCAAAGCTGATGATAAGAAAGCTGTGCAAGTCTTAGAGGCATCTGAAGATCTCCACGAGGATCTTGATGTAAAAGACAGTGAGCAGTTAAACTTCACCAGGTCGGACAACTAGGCCGAATCCCGACCTTAGGTAACCAAAATGGCCTTGTTTGTGACAAGGAAATGGTCACTAATCTCAATGAGCTAGCATCACACGAAACTGTGGATAGAGATGTTGAAACTACAGAGAATATGGCCAAGACAGATAATGAAAAAGACAAATGGCCCTTAGAGTTGGAAGCCGGTGTGGTTGATCGTCTTTGCTCAACGTCAATGTTTCAGATACCCATTGTAGTTGACGGTTTTGAAACAAGAGCTGTGGTAGATACTGGAGCAGAGATATCCATAATCTCAGATGAGGTTTATAAAAAGCTTAAGGACCCACCACCGATCCTCAGACATGTAACACTGAATGCTGCGGGAAAAAATCAGCCTATTGAGAGTTTTGTGATCGGACCAATAACGCTGACTTTAGGGTCAAAAGGCTACAGTGGAAATCTGTTTGTTGGACCAATAGAAGATGATGTTTTACTTGGTCTGGATTTCTTAAAAGCTAACAATGCCCAACTGGACATTTCTGGAGAGTCTTTGACAATGCGCCTACGTGGAGAAATTCTTCATGTAACTACTGGAAAGGAATTCCAAGTTAATCCAGATACCAAGGTGTATGTACAGAAGCGGGTTGTGGTTCCCCCAAACAGTGTGGCGAGGGTAGCTTGTCGGCTTTCTGGAGCGGTGGATGGATCTAGTGTGGTTGTAGAACCTACTATAGACAACGGGTTACTGGTTCCAAGATCAGTATACAATACAAGTTCCCATATTAAGCTGTATTGTGTAAATGTAACTAACCAAAATATAGTCCTGAAGAGGAATACAGAAATGGCTATTGTGAGTGAAGCCACAGAGATTATGGAACAAGATGGTGACCCAATATTTGTGAATAATTTGCAATGTGCAGATGAGACACCGGACATACTCCCTGAACATGTGCAGTGTCTTCTTGATGATGCCAAGGGAAGGCTCTCTGGTGATGAGTTGAACCAGTTTACTAAGCTTGTCCTGGATCATTCTGATGTCTTTGCAAAGAACGACTTTGATTTAGGTAACTTTAGCGCCCTAGAACACAGTATAGACACTGGATCAGCAAGACCCATCAAACAACGATTTCGCAGAACCCCAGCATGTTTCTCCAATGAAGAGGAGTTACATTTACAAAAAATGCTTGATGCAGGGGTCATCGAACCTTCCACTTCAGAATGGGCATCGGCACCTGTGTTAATCCGTAAACGAGATGGAGGAGTCCGATGGTGTATAGACTATCGAGGCCTCAATTCAGTCACCACCAAGGACGTATTTCCGCTTCCTCTCATAGAGGAATGTCTTGATGCACTTGCAGATAATGTCTGGTTTTCCAAACTTGATGCCAACTCGGCATATTGGCAAGTCCCATTACGGAAGGCTGATAGGGACAAAACCGCATTTACAACGAAATACGGGTTATTCCAATTTGTGAAGATGGGATTTGGACTCTGTAATGCCCCAGCAACGTATGCCAGAGTGATGAATCTGGTTCTTAGGGGATTAACCTGGAACATTGTCTTGGCTTTTCTAGATGATGTTTTAGTTCTGGGTCGAACATTTACAGATCATCTTCAAAACCTAGCAGCAGTGTTTGAACGTTTCAGGGCATTTCAGTTAAAACTAAAACCTGCTAAATGTGAATTCTTCAAGAAGAAGGTTGAATTCTTAGGCAGAACAATCAGTGACAATGGAATTGCCCCAAGTGAGAAACATGTGGAAAAGATAAAAGAATGGCTGACACCGGAATCGTCAAAAGAGGTAGAACAGTTCCTGGGATTTGCTAACTATCATCGTTCATTTATTCCGGAATTTTCCAGAATCGCAGTCCCTCTTTATCAGTTGACTGGGAAAAACCACTTCCGGTGGGATGAGGAACAAGAGCAAGCTTTTTCGAAGCTGAAATCTCTGCTAATTTCACCGCCAGTTTTGACAATTCCCAATAGCAATGATCTTTTCATACTGGACACGGACGCATCAGATTTTGCCATTGGTTGTGAACTTTGCCAAGTTCAAGAGGGAAAGGAACGAACTGTGTCTTATGCTAGTTTTGCACTTACTCCTGAACAACAACGCTACTGCACTACCCGCAAAGAACTTCTTGCTGTGATTCGGTGTATAAGACAATTCAGACACTACTTGTTAGGACGCAAATTTGTAGTTCGAACTGACCACAATAGTTTAGTCTGGTTGCTGAACTTTAAAAATCCTCAAGGACAACTGGCTAGATGGCTTGAGGAATTGAGCCAATATGACCTGACTATTATGTACCGAAAGGGGAAAGATCATCTTAATGCAGATAGTCTTTCGCGCAACTTAGAAAAGGACCCATGTGACAGCTTTAAGCATGGCCTGGATCCAACCAGCTTACCCTGTGGAGGTTGTTCATATTGCATGCGCGCCCATGAACACTGGCATCGTTTTATATCAGACGTCGATGAAGCAGTTTCTCTGAGTAACCTCCCAAGTGCACAAGGAGTGAATCGTCTGGGATACGAGCGAGAAGATGCTCAAGTGGACAACGGACTCGTTACTGTAGAGGTATCAACTGCAGGAATTAATCTCTTAACTTCCAGGGAAGAACACTTAGAGGAGAGTGTAAATACCTTGAACACATATTCCTTACAGTATTCTAAACCACAAATCCAAGCTGCTCAGGAAAAAGACCCAGATCTGCAAGTGATTCTAGATTGGTTGAAGACTGGACAAACTGTAGACGAAGGAGAACTTTTTGGATCAAATAGAGCTACAAAATATTATTGGATTAATAGAGAAATGTATTTCCTGGACGAACAGGGTGTATTGCGGAGAAGAGATCCACAAGACAACCAAGACAGTGTGGGTGAGGTGGACTTCTTAGTAGTACCTTTAAGTATGAGGGAAGAGGTGATCTCAATGTGTCATGATAACCCTGCAAGTGCACATCAAGGGATAAATCGTACAGAACACATGGTGCGACAGAGGTTTCATTGGTATGGGTTGTCCCGAGATGTACAGATGTTTGTAAAGAGCTGCACTGTGTGCAATACGAAGAAAAAGCCTAGTCGGAAAGCACGATGCCCACTGACCCTCTTTCAGTCTGGTGAACCCATGGAAAGAGTCCATCTAGACTTTATGGGCCCACTACCATGTACAAAGAGAGGAAATGAATATATATTGGTCATGGTTGATCAATTCACAAAGTGGGTCGAATGTGTTCCTTTGCCTACACAAACCGCTGAGGTTACAGCAAGAGCGGCTGTAAATGAATTCTTTGCCAGATTTGGATATCCTTTCCAAATTCACACGGACCAAGGGCGGAACTTTGAAAGCCGTTTGTTTAAGGCACTGTGTCAAGTTCTACAAATCTATAAAACCAGAACCACAGCCTATAGGCCATCTGCAAACGGGCAGGTCGAACGATATAATCGCACCATTATGAATGCTATCCGGTGTTTCATAAAATCTCAGGACGAGTGGGATGTGTACTTACCACAAGTAGCCGGAGCATTAAGATGCTCTGTGAATCGTCAGACTGGCTACACAGCAAACTACATGATGCTGGGCCGAGAGACTAATCAACCAGTTGACCTGTTGTATCGCGTTCCCTCCGATGGAAAGGCAAACAACTCTGATACATATGTGGAAAACTTGGTGGAGGCAATTCAGACAGCAAATGAGCTTGCAAGAAAAACTCTTGTTACCACACAAAAGAGGATGAAAAGGGATTATGACCTTCGAGTTCATCAGATGCAGTTTAAAGTCGGAGATATTGTCTTTTTATTTGACAATGCTTCTCTTCCTGGACAAAACCTAAAACTGAAAGATGTTTGGAAAGGCCCCGGGGTCATTCTGAAACGTTTCTCACCTTATGTGTATGAAGTTCAAATGGACAAGATCAGAAAAGCGGTTAATCATGATCGACTGAAAATCTGTAATGATCGGAAGTTACCACAGTGGATCAAAAATCTACAAAACAGTCAGGAGGACCAGGTGGAAGAGGTTTATTGTGTGTGTGAGAAACCAGATGATGGGACCTTAATGATCCAATGTGACTTCTGTTTCAAATGGTTCCATGGCAGTTGTGTTGGAATAGATGCCACCAAAGCAGAGCAAATGGAACTGTACTGTTGTAATGCATGTGAAATGGGATGACTCTGTTCAGAAAAAGGGGAGGAGTGTTGTATGTTTGGTTATATGTGTGTATGTGTGCAAGCGTGTGAGTGACAGAGAATAGCCTCTTTGTGAAATAGAGAGATACACGTGCAGAAATAAAAAGAAGTCGCAACAGACGAAACTCAACAGATTTGTTTTTACCACAGAAAGTGGACATTTACGTAGAAGCTAACGGCTGGTAAAATACTACATCACTTAACCTTGTGACTGAGATGACGTATTAAAACGCATGTTTTCAGAAGAAGAAAATTAAGGCAAATCATAAAGCCTGTCTGTTCCCGCATGTGTACTGTACCCATGTACGCTTATATACGTCATCTTACTGCATTACACGTATACAAAATAAGAAAAAAGTTGAAAAAAATATGCCATGGGTGCAGACAAATACTAAAAGTGACAGAGGCATTTAGTATTAAGTTTAATGCCCTAAATTATATATAAAACATACGCTAGGTTGGTATAATCTTCAGCCTCAGGACCCTTTAACAACTTCGATCTTGTGGCAGGTGTTTTCTACGTCAAGATGATTTAATCCACTTACTTTGGAAAAAGAAACACCTGCTGTAGAGAAAATAACACGTCTTTCTACTCACACTCACCAGGATACCATAAGATCCGATTACAAAGACGAAAATCGCCGACAGCATCTTCTGGATCTTCATGGGCGCAGCCATATTGTAGTGACTGAAATAGTGCTGCAGAAATGATCCAATCAGGTACTCTGTATAAAAAAGCACACTTATATCACCCAATCAAGTAAACCGTTATTTCACGTTTCAGTCGTTGGGGAAAAAATGGCGGCTGCTGTACACTGTGATGCATAAAGTATTCACTGATTTCGTTGATATCGCAGCAGGATTCTTGCAACATTCACCACACGTAACAATGGATCTCGCTGAGGATTTCAACGAAATTGACGACGATATTATATTTTATGCAGTCTTATATTCCAGCGTGACAGTTGTGTTTGCAATGGCCGTTTTATCCAAATTTTTGACACACGAGTTCAGGTTTGGATTCAGATCAGTTTTGAGTTTGATTGTTTTGTTTCTTGGAGAACCTCTATGCCAGTTCTTTATCAAAGGTCCAGGAGGTGTTTTGACATTTGCTGTATGTTGTCTACTGATATATTCTGTGCTTCCCGCGAGCCATTTGCCAGTGGGAAACAAGGCTGTTTTGATAACAGGTAATGTCATTTAATAATATTGGGGCTTAGCTGTTAAAAGCATTTTTTTCGATGTGCCTACTCGCAATATACAGTAAGGATGTTGTATCTAACATGGCTGTTATTAAAATTTAACATGATAATTTTTAGGGGAAACCAAAGATAGCCCTTGATTGCACACGTGGATTAAGTGACTGAATAGTCCGTTTAAAGATGTTGTTCATTGATTTATGCTATTATCATGATATATTGTAAACGCGGCTTTGTGACTTCTTAATCAGGGTCCAGCAGGCGATCATTCATTCATCAAATGACAGTAACAGACTAAAGTTCATTTAATAAGGAAATATTTATATTTGAAATATTTTTAAGGGTTTGTTAATGGTTTGTAAATTCATGATAATTTGAAGATTTAATGACAAATTGGTTTGATTTGATTTGTCTGTGCACATGTTTTCTATCATAATGGTTGGGTTCATGTTGTCAAATATTCAACAAATTATTAATTTATGATCAGTTACTGATAGAATTATGTATGTTGTACATAAAGTTGTTTTTCTATTTGGCCTTGATATAAATGATTTAGATCATTTGTTTGATTTGTTTTCTGTCAAATTCAGTTTGCTAGAGTTTGCTAAAATTACTTCTATATTGTGATGTAACAACAATTGTTATGTGAAATTATATATTAGGTTGTGATAGTGGATTTGGAAGTGCCCTTGTCAAAAAACTGGACAGTATAGGAATGCGAGTGTATGCAACTTGTCTGAACTCAGATGGACCAGGAGCTATAGCTATTCGTAACAACTGTTCAGAAAGGTTTGTATTAACCAAAAAATACCTGGCTCATTTTTTTACATTATCTTACCCAAAGGGTCGAGATGACCTGTAGCTATCATGCATCGTCCATCGTTGTGCACTGTGCGCTATTTGCCGTCCGTAAACTTGTCCTTTAAAACACTACTCTTGCTTAACACCGGGGTGGATTTCTACCAAATTTGGTCTGGAATATCATTGGGAGAGGAGGGTGATTTCATAAATTCATAAATTTGATTTGACCACTTGGAACATGGGGATGGGTCACCAAAGGGTAGTTAAACAATACTCCTTTTCAAAATGCTACTCTTCCTTAATGTTTGAATGCATTTCATTCAAATTTTGTCTGTAACATCAGTAGAGGTTGGCAAATAATTCTTACATTCAGTAGTTTGATTTGACCCCTAGGGACTTGGGCCCGAGGCCCCAAAAGAGGAAATTAGACAATATTTTGCTTCAAAATGCTTCTTCTTCTTAATGTTTTGGTAGATTTCAACCAAATTTGACCTGAAACATTATCAGGGAGTGACATTGATATCAGATATACATGAAGTGATCCCAAGATTGTCCTGACCAAATCTTATTTCTATGCTTTGGTCCAAAATGCAACATAAATCATCTAGAACAAATAGTCTGAACTTCTTTTCATGTTTCATTCACACCATTAAGAAAAATATTTGGAGTTTTGGAGAAAAGAAAGAGATGATATGTAGTTGTTTTTCAGTCTGATCAAAACTTCAACATGGTTACCACAGTAATTATATTGTAACATGATTGTGCAACTGTTTGGTCGGGTGGCGCAGTGTTAACGCATGCACAGGACGTAAAAGGTAAGGGGTCCTGCTTTATGAGTTTACATCCGGGCCAACAAGAGTGATTAGTATAAGTTTAAATAACTTGTTTCGCAATTGTTGTAAAACAAATAAAGTTTATATATATAACTGTTTTTCATGCACAGTACCTGCTTTATGAGTTACTGATACTTTTGAGGAATGTTTAGAATTTGAATTCATCAGACTTGTCAGACCACCGTCAGCAAATTCAGTGGGTTGTTCATCCATCTGTCAAATGTCAGATGACCATTAAGGGCCATGGCACTCTTGTTTCTTTTTCATTTAGAACTTAACTTGGCTTGTTACATGACAAAGAAAAGACCTTATGATTATTATGTGATAGATATGGGCTTGATGGCAGTGATGTAATTTTCTATTTGTACTGACTGGTCTCTACTTAACGAACAAAAACTAGATATTTTTTTCCATATAACAAGTATGTGATATCTATATAATTTGGTTCCACAAGTATGAAACTGATGAATGTCACTTGCATGTATCTGAAAATCATTATCACTGTGGTATGCAATGTACATCCACATAGATTGTTAAACAAATTGTACAAAGAATTATGATATGTGGGACTTCAGCTGACCCTTGAAATTTTACAGAAGTTAAATCATGAATCCCAATGGTCAAAACATGTAAAATAAACATGTCCTTTCAAGCTCAAATCAAAACTAACTTTTGAGTGGTAAAAAACATACTCTCAAAGCCAAAAGTCCACAGAATACACTAAATTTGATACTATAATGACTTATATTTATTCATTGCGTCGTCTTCAAAATATTTTGAAAAAAAAAAATTTCTGAAAATATGATTTTGTCACAACAGGGTTTGTGTGCTACAGCTGGATGTTACAAATACTAAACAAGTGGAGGAGGTTGTTAACTTTATACAGGTCCATGAAGGAGAAGATGGTTAGTATATAACATTCAAATGGTTTAAACCTTATGATAAAAGGTTCATCCATATAGAAATAACATCTGTATCTCAATACATGTACCTTGGTTACTGATGATATAGCATAGATGTTGAAAAAGCCTACCCGGTACTATTATTTCTTGAATGTCAGTCAGTGTTGAAAAAAAAAATATTACTTTACTGTTAGCATTACCCTCATTGAACTGTTTTACCTTTGTCAATATTACTAATTAATTATGATTAATGATTTTACCTGTAACAGTATTAGTGATTAATCATGATTTTAATGATTAATTATTTAATCTATAACAGTATTAGTGATTTATCATGATTTTGATGATACATTATTTTACCTATATCATTATTAGTGATTATTAGTGATTAATCATTTGTCATTTAGAATTATTCACATGAACTGTTTACTGGTTTATGAAACAGTGCTTTACATATCTGTTTCTCTTCACATTTGATTTACAGGCCTATGGGGACTGGTGAATAATGCTGGGGTATGGTACTTCTCTGAGATTGAAATGACATCAGATGCTCTGTTTCACAAAATCTTAGATATCAACTTGTTTGGCACGATTCGTCTTACTAAAGCTCTCCTACCACTTATACGCAAGTCCAAGGGAAGAATTGTTAATGTATCTAGTCTTCTAGGTAAGTTTATACACACTAGTGATTTACAGAAACTATTCTCACTTCATGATGTGACATCAGAATCACATCTGGTGGTATATGGGTTATATTTGGCATACCAATGCACTTCTGATAATCTGACAGATTAAAAGGGTTTGACCACAATTTTTTCTTAATTTCCTATTTTATGTTAAAGTGATGCAATTATCTGTGTAATCATTGAGTTCTGTACCGGTACACAGGTGATCTTGGGAGCTTGTTCTACCCCTGTACCTTATTCTGGTGAATATATATATAGAGAGGATGGAACAAGGTCATGCTGCGTGTGACGTGAAAGTGTTACTTCAATAATAGCTATTGTCATTTACATGTATTAAAAAGAATTTTAACATCCAATCTACCTACATATATTGTGTATTTTTTACTTAACGATTGATGAAGACAAAAAAATATTGCCTGTAGAATGTTGGGATGAAGGGCAACCAAATTGTTCATTTGAATGACCTTGACCCAGTTTCAATGTCACAGGCATCAAAGGTATTTATGTGTTTTTTTTTCAATGACTTCTTCTTAAACCAAGAAGCACATGGCCCTGATATTGAGTTTGTGTTAAGCTCATATGAAGGGCTACCAAATTTGTTCAAATTGATAACCTTGGTTTACTTTAAAGGTCACACGGGTCAAATGTACTGAAATCTTTCAACAACTTCTTTTCAATGACCAAGAGGTCTTAGGTCATTCTATTAGACCAGAATCTTTCTGTAAATTTATTCAAATCATTGACCTTGACTCATTTTGGGAAGTTTGGTCAAGGGCTTAGTAAAATAAAAAATTCTAAGTCATGAAATTAATCTCACATGAATAAAAGCTGAGGTAAGATAATCTATATACAGTTAAAACTTGTTGTTTCAAAATCGCTTGAGTCAAAATTCCGTTTGATTCGAAATAATTTTCAAGTTCAGATTTTTTTTCCTTCTGTATCTTTGTAATTTTAGTTTGGATGACTCCAATTATATTGAGTTGAAATTTCGGGTGAGTCAAAACGATTTTCCAGTCCCTTCAATTGAAAGGCAAGGGAAAAGTCATTCATTGTCTCGAAATTAATTTTTGTATTAACATCGGCACATCTTCTGACGAAATCGGCAAATACATACACAAAGTAGAAAGTCACATGTGTGTAACAATTGGCTAATTACAGCATATTGATAGTCCGTCGTATACACAACACTTGGTCTCTTGCAATTAATTTGAGTTTAACTATCCGAATAAAGTTTGGTTTCTTAATTAGTGTCACCACCCTGTAGCAGTGACTTACCTGTACATTAAAAAAGTAGTGCGTTTACACAAAACATGAAAACATTTAGCTTGATTGCATGCATCTTCAGGAACGATAAAAATGAAACCGTCAAATCAGTACAAACTTTTTGACGAAATGTGATCCCCACAATTCTGAGGTAAAAACTGTCTAGCACTGCATTTTTCATGTGCTTATTTATTCGTAAAAAAGCCATAATGATATGATCTATATCTTTATACATCGTTTTTTGTAGCGTAACAAAAGCACATTTAATTTCATTTTATTGTCATTCCGTAAAATATATGATTTATATGAGCTTGGTCAGTAAGGGTATTGTACATGTGTGCAGGATGGAACAATGTGAGTACAAATGTATTTGCATGGAGATGATATTTCTCGTTTTGTTGTTTAGATGAATAAACAGTAAAAGGAGAATGTAGAAATAAATCTATTTGTTTATTAACCGTCATTTGAAAAAACAGATTAAACGACGCTGCTTGCGTGCTATCGTACCCTACTTTGTTCAACTGTAATCAACATTAGGAAACTGATATCGTCATCCTTATTTATACACTTCGTTTGAGTCTAACTTTGGATAAGTCGAAATATTTTCCATGGTCCCTTGAATTTCAAGATAACGAGTTTTGTCTGTATGTTCTTCATAAACATACATACTGTCAGTCTGCTGTAGAATGAAATACGCTTAGATCAGCATGACTTTGTTGATTTCTGGTATAATTATGGTTGTTACAGGGAGGATAACAATGGCTGGCAATGGAGCATACAGTGTTTCTAAACATGGGCTTGTAGCCTTCACCGACACACTGCGACAAGAAATGAAGAAATGGGGTGTGCATGTGGCTGTTATTGAACCTACAGGCTTTTACACAGGTAGGCACCACACCATCAGCTATTATCCTCCAATTAACTTTCTCTAGGTGGGAGAAGTTTTATCTACCAGTAATATAAGTGAAGTAATTCTGTGATCCATGCCTGATGTTGTTGACTTACGCTGCTCAAATGTTTCAAGATAAAACTTGTAAAGTTTAAAAAATTTCGTTTGGGATCTTACATTTCGCAACTAGAGTTTTGCTAAAAGGATGTCTCCTGGATTTATGATAAAAATTTCTTTGTTTAAGCCTTATGTACGTTTCTTGATTAAAGTTTTTATATAATTCCTGTTTCTAATGATTTTTTATTTGTGTTTTAACTTGCAGAGAATATGAAAGAACATAATATAAAGAGCAGGAAAGAGGAGGTATGGAATTCTATGGACGAGAGTGCCCGTCATACCTATGGTCAGCTGTATCTCGACACTGTGTATAACAGTATTGTTGCAGGTGCCACACGCTATCCTGATGACCTTACGCCGGTCATAAGGGCTATGCGTAGTGGACTTCTGTCCAAACGTCCCCGTGCTCGCTACCCATGCGGGACTGGTGCAGACTTACTGACAATGGTGTACCCCTTGCTACCAGTTTGGGTCGCTGATAAAGTGTCATCTCTCATTGGTATCATGCCTATAGATGCCCGCCCTGCCACTCTCAGCTGAATCTTTCTGACGTAACAGCAAAGTAACCTGATTACGTTTTTGTGCTAGCTGCATTGTATGTGCTAACTGTATTAAACAACATGCATCCTTTTGATTTATAAAAAGAAGAACATTTTTTTTCAAGCCAGTTATAATAAGGGCTGTTGGAGTAAAAAATCTACCCAGCCCCAGGACTCCACAATGAATTGCTTCCATTCATGGCAGGGGTTCTTTGATGTTCTTGCCTGTTTTTTCTCTGCAGATTGAAAGTTAAATTTTATGGGCAATACCCAGTGAGAAAACCTGGAGCCCTGGGGTTGGGAAGATAGTTTACTGGAATGGTTGTTATAAGTTATTTCATATTTGTTTAGTTAAAATATCTAAAAGTGATTTTGTTTTGTTTTGAATACTGGTAGAGGAAGACACCTTCCTTTTCTGCATTCAGTCAACAGAAATATGAAAGAAATTTTATAAATATAAATATATGATTTACTAAATGTTTCAAAGATGATTATATAGGTATATCTAGTTCATTTTGAGCATTCCATATTAATATCTGAGTAAAGATGACAAGATTTATTTTCTAAATTTTGAAAATATTAAAAAAAAGTCATCAACATTTTTTCTTCTCTTTTTCAACAACACAGCCTTAAATCAGCACATCAAATTTAGAAATGCATTTACACAGAACCAGGATATTTCTGAATTTGTTCAAAATTTCTATAGGTTCCGAGTATACAAAAAAACCTGGGAAAATATGGACCAGATACTCATTTGTTGTTTGAAGTTGATGCATTATTTCATGAAAATATTTTTCTAAATTTCATATGAATTCTTTTTCGATATCTCATTAGATTTTTTTCCCCATCACCTTTTGTATTGGTTTAAATTTAAGAGATTCTCGAATGTTAGGTTTGTAAATCTCTCTTATATATCCTACTTTAAGACAGATTACCTATTTTAAGATCTGTTTATCTTATGTGTTTTATAAATTGTTAGATATTTATCTCCTATTCAATGAAAAATTTAAAGATTGTGTTAATTACATTGCCTTTTAGATACATGACCAAAACAACTTCATGAGATAGAGACACACAATTTGATGTCCGTGTTGATACTACATAAACCCTCCATTTTCTACAAAGATACTGTTTAGATTTTCATCATTGTAAACTTGATGAGATGACCAGGTATTACTATATGACTGTTTCTAATGGCTTAAAAGTCTTCATTCTATCGGCATCTAGTTGTTGTTACAAATTGTTAGGCCTGACTAGTTTATAGATAACTCACTGTTGTGTAAGTTGTTGACATTGATGATGTCATCGACACCATAACATTAGTCTATGACAACTGCCACTGTGTCTGGTAGATTGACTGGTACAGGTTGCCTCCTGCTCTGCAGCATGCTGGGTCAGAATTCTGTGGATGGTATCTCCATGCTCATGATACATAAGATGATTATGACCAATTAAAAACAGTACTTATGCCAATTAAATTTAACTTATTTCAGTTGAACTGAATAGAATATTCAACTGATTTCTGTTAAACAATTGATTTCTGTTAATTACAAAGCCATGACTTTGACAACCTGTAGAATATTCAACTGATTTCTGTTAATTACAATGCCATTTATTTGACAAATGTAGAATAATCAACTGATTTCTATGAAGTAAAATGTCTAGTTTGATCTGTATTAAAGTAAATATGTTATTGTAATATGTAGCATGGTTTTCTTCCATACCCAGGATGCCTTGTTCACAAAATATCGTACATATGTTATTTAGCTACATACCTTGTCTAAGCTTCATGTTGGGTGTTGTGTTGTTCTACGCAAAACTATTCAAAACCGCATTCTTCTAAGTTTTGAAATCATTGAGTGTATGTATCAGTGGGGTTGAAATATAAACACATGCTACATAGTGGATCTATTGTTTTGTAACTACAGAAGTAAATGTAAGGGGCAAGGGTAGGATAGAGTGGTAAATTTATAGTGAGACAACCACTTACAATCATTTCACTTATGGAGTCCAATATTAGTTAACTATGAACTGATTTATATCCCACCGCACTCAGATTTTTAGCCCACCATCTAATAGATGGTGGGTTATTCAAATCGCCCCGCATCCGTGGTCCGTCCGTCCGTCCGTCCGTCCGTCCGTCCGTAAACAATTCTTGTTACCGCTATTTCTTGGAAAGTACTGGATGGATCTTTCTCAAATTTCATATGCAGTTTCCCCTTAGTCCCTAGTTGTGCATTGTACCTTTTTTGGACTGATTCGCATTCAAGATGGCAGACAGGTGGCCATCTTGGATTTTGGATGTAAAAGTTTGTTACCACTATTTCTTGGAAAGTACTGGATGGATCTTTCTGAAATTTCATATTCAGGTTCCCCTTGGTCCCTAGTTGTGCATTGTACCTTTTTGGACTGATTCGAATTCAAGATGGCCAACAGGCAGACATCTTGAATTTTGGAAGTAAAAGTTTGTTACTGCTATTCCTTGGAAAGTACTGAATGGATTTTTCCCAAATTTCATATGCAGTTTCCCCTTGGTCCCTAGTTGTGCATTGTACCTTTTTTGGACTGATTCGAATTCAAGATGGCAGACAGGTGGCCATCTTTTTTTTTTGAATGTAAAAGTTTGTTACTGCTATTTCTTGGAAAGTACTGGATGGATCTTTCTCAAATTTCATATGCAGTTTCCCCTTGGTCCCTAGTTGTGCATTGTACCTTTTTGGACTGATCCGAAATCAAGATGGCTGACAGGCAGCCATCTTGGATTTTGAGAGTAAAATCTTGTTACTGCTATATCTGAGGAAGTACTGGATGGATCCATCTGATATTTCATAGATATTGGTTTCCCTTGGTCCCTAGTTGTGCATTGTACCTTTTTTGGACTGATTTGAAATCAAGGTGGCCCACAGGCAGCCATCTTGGATGTCGACAGTAATACAGCACAAGCATATTGTCCATTATCCACCTGTAACTGACTGCTATCTAATAATACTTTGGGATCTTTTTCAAATGATATTTGCTAATAGGTGCTTAATAAAAATATCTTGTGCCATCATTGAGTACATTCAATGAAGACCAGTTCATGAACATTTACAACACCTGTAAGAAACAAAAAAAAACAAATCTTCAAGAACTGAAAACAGATCCTCAAATGGTGGGCGCCAAGATCCCTCTGGGATCTCTTGATAAACATTTTGGATTTGTATGCCTCACTACCCACCCCACAATGTATTCTTGGAGAGTTCAGTTTCTGGTTGTTTTATGTCCAATTAATAGCCAGGGTGATTTAAAGGTGACAGTTTAAGGTGGTGGAGGAAAGCTGGAGTTCCTTAAGAAAAACAGCCATTACCTGGTAACTACCATAAGTAGGCTTCAAGCCTATCAAAATATCACTCATTTGATATGTATAGAAAAGACTTGATAGTTTTTTCCATTTAAAATTTTTATTTCAATTTCTGATCTGTTAATGATTTGCCTTGTTTTTAGATAATTATAGATCTGGAAGGAAGCCTTGATATGTATCAGATGATATTATCACATCTGTACTTACATCATGTTATCAGTAAATCTCATTTCTAACTACCAAGTATGTACACAACTCACAGCATTTTATGTTGGTGGTGTTGTCCAAATTTTTGCAGAATTTTATTTTGCGAGTTGAAGCACACTGGTTATTGACCTGACAAAATCACTGCATGTGTGAATTGTGTTCATTTTGAAATTTAAGTTGGTGGTTAGGATTATTGAGAAACAAGATCTGTTTGATAAGTCATAAATGGCCCAATTATTTTCTGATCTGACAACTACAATTGATTTGAGAACTTGTGTTTTCTTTTCAAGACCTGGCTCCTTTATTTCTAGGGAAAGAAAAAACAGTTTGTAAATGGCATTATCAGCAAGTAGCTATATGAAACAAGGAGATGGAAGCATGAAAAGTTCATTTATTCCCAAACTCTTAGACTAAGTACCATGTTACTCATTCTGTATTGTTTCTTTCACATTTAATGATTTGGATATAAACTTCCACTGAGTAGCATAATCAATATCATATACAAATGATGTATATCAATTTTGATGAAAGAAAATGCCATATCCACTACCCTTTTTGAATCGTTCCTTAACTGTTTAACTGTTTCTCTGTGAATTTTCTTATAGTGTATCATTTGCTATTTATTTTGCATTTGACTTACTAACAATGTCTGTTACATAATTATCTTGGTGAAAACACTCTACATTTTTATTGTTTATTTTTTATTTCTTTGTTGGATGTTTTCTTTAGTAATATCACAGTTATTTTTTTTCCATTACCTCTGAAAATTTACAAAATAGTTCTATTATATTTTCTTCTGTATATAAAAAATTTAATTATATACACAGATATTTGATATCTGTTTAATAATAATAATAATCAACAGAATTTTGAATTAAGAGTCAATTATAAAGAATGACATTCTAATATCTGTTGATTAATAATAATTATAATATTCAAGAGATATTTAAATGTGATTCTTGATGGTAACTGACTCTGTAAAAACAAATAAATATCTAGAGAGTGATTCTGTTTTAGATCTGGTACTCCTGTTCCGTTTCATGATTTAGTGATTTGGATATAAATTCAACAATAAAGTCTGACATTTTAATGTCAGTGAAAGAAATATATGTTTCATGTGTACCTTACTGAAATGGTAAGGAGAAAATTTGAACCATGACATCATAATACACAGTTTGAGTATTGTGATGTCTTTATGATGACATCATGATGCACAGTTTGAGTATTGTGATGTCTTTATAATGACATCATAATGCACAGTTTGAGTATTGTGATGTCTTTATGATGACATCATAATGCACAGTTTGAGTATTGTGATGGCTTTATGATGACAAGTTAAATAGAGGTCAGATATATAAAACATCCTACACTTACATAACTGTTTTTGGAAAACATCTAGTTGTACTTTCTAGCTTTTGTGTAACCAAGGTACTTTATGTGTAGTGGCACGTTTT